TCCGTATGACAAAAGTTGATTGAGACATTTAATTTAAATTTTGAGATAACCATTCTTGGAAACTCAGGAATCGTATACAAACTGCTGAGAGTAATATTTAAATCCGTATGCAACTAAAAATAAAATATTATATTAGGAACAGATGTGTAATGTTAACAGATCAAGTGACAAACATTGATATGCAGAACGTTGAGAAAAGTTTTGAAGAATACAAGATTTTCAAACAAATATTAATTTCTGGTATAGAATTCAAATGGAAAATTATAACAGAACAGTTCTCTAGTGAAAGAATCAGTCAGTATAAAAATTGATGGGAAAACATTCTCTCAGATATTTTAGGATAAGAAATTAGAAATATCGACCATAACAGTGTATTCTGATCATGCGGCGGTAACTAGATTGTACTCAGGGAAAAACTTATCCCCAAGGTTAATAAGATGGGCACTCAAGCTACAAGAATATAATCTGGTAATCAAGCATACCCCCGGAAAGGAAAATATCGTAGCAGATGCCCTATCCAGAATAAAAATAGGTGAAGAAAGTAATACTGTAAAGGTGGCAATGCTCACAGCATGTACAATAAATTCCCGAGAAACTGTAATAACCGAACTGGGTAAGGATCCTGAGTTTGGTAGCATTTATGAGTATTTAAAGGATCCTGAAAAGTTTAGCCACCAAGATATTGTGGCGATAAGAAATAGGGCGGCCCATTACGAAGTAATAGATGGTCTATTATTTTATACAAAAACTACAAATTCCAACAACGAATTTCGACCTGTTATCCCAGCTAGTCTTAGATTAAATATCCTGCGGGAGTTACATGACAGCCCTTTAGCTTCTCATGCTGGTATTCGAAAATAACTCATTCGAATATCCAACGCGTACGCGAGGCAGTCTATTTTCCTGAACTGCAAAAGTTAACAAGGGCGTATGTCCAGTCCTGCCCAACAAGTCAGTTAAATAAAAGTCGCTATCTCCTTGTTATGGTTGATCATTTTAGTAAGTGGACCGAAATTGTTCCCTTAAAACGAGCCTCCGCGAAATTAGTTACTGATTCTATTTTAAATAAATATATTTTAAAATACGGGGCGCCCCTAAAAGTTATATCGGATAATGGTCCTCAATTTGTAAGTAATGTATTTGAAGACATGTGCCAAAAACTGGGCATACGTCATTTAAAAATGGTCCCGTATCGGACGCAATCAAATATAGTGGAACGGGTCAATAGAAATATAGTGAAAATTATCCGTAGTTATGTTGAAAATTTTCATAAAAGCTGGGATAACTATGTCAATGAATTTGCTTTCGCCCTTAGGACCGCAAAACATGATACAACGGGAAAAACTCCTGCTGAGTTATTTTTAGGCAGAAAGATTATAACGCCGTTAGATAAATTATTTTATGTGCAACAAAGAGCCCCAGAATTTAAAATGGGTGATATAGAAAAATTAATTAAAGAAGCAAAAAAGAATACTAAAGTAGCACAGAGAAAACAAAAACTTTATTACAATTTGAAACGACGGGGAGTAACTTATAAAGTAGGAGATGAAGTATTAAGAATTAAGCATTCACTTTCTTCAGCACCAGAAGATAAAACCGCCAAATTTTTTCCACGATTTGAAGGACCATATGTCATAGAAAAAATAACTCACGCTGTAGTAGTGTTAAAAGCAAGGAATGGTGAAACATGCTCCGCAAACATTGATCAAATAAAACCATATTATGATCGTAATAAAATGCAAATATTCAAAGATCTTTTGCAGGATCCGTCACGGCAGTCACGGCAGGCACAAGCTTCAGAGGTGGAACAACGACAAGTACAAGGGCAAGCCATTAGGAGGCAGGAGCAATTGAAAAGAAAGTTTCCCCGTTGGAAATATGAAGGTAACAAGAAAAAGAAGCCGTTCCACCGTCCAGAAAAGAGAGCTCACGACCACCCCCAGAATGAAGAAGGGAGAAGTACGGACGGAAGATCTACTCATCGGACAGGACTCTCTGCAGCAAATGTCGCCGAACTGCGGAAGGGCCACTAGCGGCGGAGGAAAAGATATAAGGAAAATTTGAACGGCCAGCAACGAGGTCCAAGCAGGAACGAGAGAGAAGTCTCCCGATTCCGCCATGACCAGCGGCCATCAAACGGCCAAGACCACAGGCAGAGGCGGAAAAGGTGGTCTTCAAGGGTGACCGAACTGGAGGGAAAAGAAAGCTCCTACAGGAAGGAACTGAAGGGCGAGTCCGCACAAGAGGGAGGATAAATCAAACACGAATCTTCGCTACCTTCCAGGTCTGGGCAGTGAAAAGAATGTCCGAATGTCACAAAGATAAGAAAAGTTTTATGTTACTTTGCAAACTTAAGTTAATCTTTCATTCTTACTGCAAGTGGCAGAATTCAAGACGTTTTACCTCATGTGAGGTCTACCTTTATCGCCAAAAAGGCGAGAAATCAGTTGTTACCGATTTTGGTATTATGTTTTTCAATTACTCGCCAGTAAAACTAAAATTAATATATAATAGGAATGTGTAAATACTTGAATATTGTAAAAGTTATTGTATAAAATTTTATTTAAAAGATTCTGGCAAGAAAAGAAGTTTTAGTCTGAAAGACTTTTTGAAAGTGTAGTGTTTCAATGTAGAAGAATTGGCACTTGCTTGGAAAAGAATAGAAGTTAACAATGTACTACTAATGCATGTTTTAAAATGCGTAAAATTAACGGCATGTTAAGATGTCCTTATACAATGTGAACTGTTATGTTAAACGTTAAGAAATACTGTGATATGTTAAAAGTGAAAGTAATGCCAAAAATTTTTAACTTATTCGTGTGACTGTAAAAAGAGCCAAATTATTGTGAATATGTGTTAAAGGTGGAATGAATGTAGTTAGGCTCTCTGACGCTACACTTCAGAGTTAGCCACTTTCAGAATAGTACCTCAGGGTTTAGAGTTGAAGATAGGGTGTGTTACGAGGTCTTGTTATGTTGAATTTTAACACGTTAGTGTTTTGATTGTAGGCGGCAGTGTTGAACACGTATACATAAACACATTCGTGTTTTGGGTGTTTTCTTTTACAACACATGTCAGAGAGCAACGGGGAGAGATAATTAAAAATAAAGTCATGAATGAAATAAGAATGTTAAGAGAAATATAAATATCCATGTTACTTGCCATTTCATTGTGTAACATTTCATTAAACTAGTTTTCCTTCCAGATCTCTGGAAGGAACCAGATTTGAATAAAAGCTCCTGTTTAGATGTAGTACAGATGAAAAATTGGTTGTCCATGGAGCTGATATTATAAAAACAAATTTTTTTTTAAAATTTCTAGTTTCTAGTGAGAAATGTTTGTAAAAGATTGGCCTCGCGTTAGATTCTAGAGCTAAAAGTTTTCAACAAGGTCGTTTTAGACCTCAGTTTCAAACTAATTAACTCTGGCGGGAAGCATGTAAGGATCTTAAGTTTTACTAACGTTTATTTTTATTTTAAATCTTTACTATCACTTCTTATTTTCTACTTCCGGCCAGAATTAAAAGCTTTAACTTATTTATGCAAATTTGTCTGGCGAACGCCAAATACTTAAGTTGTGGCTTTTTGCCAAGCAAGAGAGAGGAAGGAGTGATTAGGAGCAGGCCGCTTGCCATAGCAGTTTTACTCGAGGCCAGAGGTTTAATCCTCGTGATAATTTTAACGTATTGTAGTGTTAACAGTTCTCTGTACTACATACGGCTTCCTGTTAATATACGGCCAATCTTCCACGTAGGCCCTTGTTTATTATTCCAAAGTTAAGTTAGAGTTTAGTTAAATATTTTTTATATTCTTACGTTCAGACCACAAGTAGTTGGTCTCTGTATTCCGAAGTACGGAAATTATTGTAAAGAGTGAAAAAATAAAGGGTTTCGTATACCCTTCCTGTGTATCTTGTCTACTTCCCACATTTATTGAACATAGCTTTAGTAAGCTCCCTGTTCCGAGTCAGGTCTGTGCATGTTCCCAAAGAAAGTAAGGCGGAACATTGAACCTGATAACTCTACCACCGGATTATGAGTTGCAGCGGAAGAATTAAGCAAGAAATAATCTAGCTAATGCCAGCAAAGCCAAAAGTATCAAAGCGTCATAAAGATTTGTTCAATTCAAAAGATTTTATATCTGCAATATGTATACGACCAACCAAATATAACGATTGTGAAAATAAAAGCCGGGTAAGGACAGAGTGCATTACGTAAATAAGTATTACTGCCTCTTTATTAATGCAATGGTATGGTAAAATGTTGTTATGTTTCCTAATGGTATCTGGCATACGCTGATGACTTCCTCATTGTAGTAGCGGGCCGCAGCGATATCCAACATAGATCCCAGGATTGTCTAGATATCTTTGCTCAATGAGCCAAGGAACATAAACTTGAAATAAGTGCAGAAAAAATGCAAGCCATGATAATAGGACGTCGTCATCCCCTTAGGAGAAAAACCTATCTAAAACTACAGGGACATTCATTAAAAACAGTCTCAGAAATGACATACCTAGGTCTCTCCTTTGATAATAAACTTTCATGGACTTCCTCATCTTAAAATTCTCAGGCAGCGCATTGGCAATCCTCACTTAACAGTATGGAAACGTACTGCAGGTATGAAATGGGGCATACCGGCAAATCTCCTGAAATCTTGGTGTAAAACCATTTCAGAACGCATTATTTTTGTACGGAGCCTCCATCTGGGGCCAGAACCTCACTTTCTACTATGAGGAAAACTTTGCTTTCCATACAAAGAAGTCAACCTTCTGCTTATCTCTCATCTCGTGGGCTTATCGGACTTCTCGAAACATCTGCCCTACAAGTCATTACGGGTCTTCCCCCTCTTGATCTTGTAGTCGAGAGGGAAGCCGCAGTGATAAAAGCTACAAGGCTTAATAAAAATATACATCACTGTGGGGACAGAGCATAATCCACACAGACATAAATACAAGACTATGAAAAATACAGTTATCTTTGTCACCCAGCACAATTTGACCTAATGGACACCATCCATATAAACTCAGATTCTCCGGCGCAAAATGATCATGCATTATACCCTGATGGATCCAAGACAAAGGCTGGCACAAGATGTGGATTCTGCGAATTGAATAAAGGCAGCATTATCTTCTCCTGGAAGCGAAGACTGAACGAAAGTAATTCAGAATTTCAGGCAGAACTCACAGCCTTACACGCAGCAATCATCCACAGTCGTAGGAATGGTCTTAATCAAGTTCATATTCATACGGACTCCGCCTCAAGCCTCCAAGCACTTTCAAGAATGCACAGCAGAAGCCATTTGGTTAACAAAATACAGAGAACTCTCCTTAGTATCCCTATACCTTTTCGTCCTGTACTCTGTTGGGTGCCAGTGCCCGTAGGAATACTAGGAAATGAAAGTGCAGACATTGCTGCTAAAGAAGCTGCCAATAGTGCATCCTTACTTGAGTGCCCAACAACACTTCCAACCTTGCTGCTAAAGCATTCCACATGCAAACTTCTTATAAGACAGTGGCAAACCAGCTGGAATGAGGCTACAACGGGTCGACGTACACATGCAATGCTACCAAGTGTAAGCATGGATCTGCAGAGCAAAACTGGCAGCATGTCACATTTCCTAACAGGACGTGGACCGTACAAAGCCTATCTGCATAGGTTTGGTCTATCCAACACAGACATCTGCGACTGTGGGAAAGTGGGCAGTCCACACCACTATTACTTTGAATGTCGCTTGACGGCGAAGTTCCATCTAAAAAAAAACAGCACCCACGTTTCGCGCAGCGTGGTGGAATAATATTCAAATAACAATGTTGCTCTATCGAAACTACATGCTATCACTACCTACTGCGCTGCAAAAACAAAGTAACCTGGAACAGCTCTCATCACAATCATTCCCCAAATAGCTAAATTACTGTTTCAACTCCTGTAATATAAGTATTTATTTATATATATATATGCATATACATATTATATATTATTTATCTTTTTTTTTTTTTTTTTTTTTTTTTTTTTTTGCATAAATGTAGTTTATTTAACCCTTTTGTTATAAAAATCTTTGTTCCATAGAATCAACTTCTTGATATATACAAATATTTGTACTCATCCGGTGTAATACATTGTTCATACAGTTATCTAACTTTCGTAATATAAGTGTTCATTCCAATATAGTAAATATGCCAACCTAACACATGAAATACCAATAACAATGTTGCATAATGTCTATGTATTTCCGTAGTGTAAAAATATTTCTTCCACACTGATTGTCATTACTTAAATGTATCACATTTGACTTATTTATATACCAAATGTAGCATTCATTTAATGCACTGCCAAATGCATATATGTGTATACATACAATATAATTTCACTAATATATAGCATTGATTTATGTTATAAGAGTGTTCATATGTAATACTGTGCTTTTCAAAATATCTTGTAACAAAAGAAAATAATATGTACTGAACAACAGGCCTTGTATGCTAATGTAACTGATTTCCACAGAAGCGACGTTCAATTCGGTACAGCAAGAACTAGGACGGACGTCATCTTCGGGGTGTATAGTCCAGATATTATACATTTGCTAAATCTTTATCTAGCCTAAAATTGTGACACTTCGATCACAATCACAATGAAGTCCTAGTGTCTTGCCTATAAATTTTTGTTCGTTATAGACAACATTATGCAGTATATTATTTCAAGTAAATTTTGATCTTGATGTACTAAATCTTTCAAATTTACTTTATAACATCGGATGAAATCACATATCACTTTTATAAGACAACAAAACAGAACTGCCTTATTTGAAATAGAAAATTTAAAAATAATTTTATCTGATTTTTTGTTGTGTTGTAACGTGCAAGGACCGCTAGATAACGCCTGCCGTTGGCAACAGCTTTGAGCACCATTTAGGTGACAGTGCGATTAGCTCAGTCCCCCCCCCTCAATTCTGATGGAGAGCACCCCGAGGAGTACGGGTCGAGAGTCTCTCCCCCCTAAACATTGTCTACATTCTCATCTAAACATTCCCACCCTAAACAATTTCCTTCCACCAAACGACTTTCGGTTCGCCGCATATTTACACTATTGCCGCACCGACACTATGCATTTACAAACATGCATGCCTCCTCTGGGATTCGAAGCCGGGCCCTTCGGCACGACAGTTAGCGACGCTAACCAATATATCAGTTGGGCGGTTTTATCTGATTTACGATAGGTTAATATAATTCCCAGGCTTCGCAAAATAAGCACGAAATCGATAGGTGACTTGTTAACACATAGCAAGAATCAGATAGTCAATCACTCTACACCTCTATATCTGCGAACTTCAAAGCAACCCATGTTTTATGGAAACGATATCTCGTAGCATTACCTTTCCACACTAGACTAAGTCCTGGTTACCGAAATATAAAGTACCGTTACAGCATCGACCGGATAGTAACAATTATTTGACATATGCTCGAAACTTTGAACTCTATGCTCGAAAGATGCTTGATTTCGTGATTATTGTATGATGATGTTCCTTTATGATAAGGTTTAGTGTGATAACGGCAAAGAAAACGAAGGTTATCTGCCTGAGGAAAGGGATGCCTTTGTGAAAGACGTTTTAAGGAAAACTGGCTCATATTCACGCTTTTTGATAAAGATTTGATTCGACAAAGCACACTAGGGCTAACTGCCTAAGAACAGAAATGCTTTCGGGGAGGAAACCTGGCTCGTATACACGTTACACATATAAAAAACAACGAAAATGCCCATGTAGACAACCTGTTCGCCTGGATTCTAAGTCAGGTCGAACTACCAGTGTTCAGCGACTTTACCATCCGGCAGCTGATGGGCCCGTTGTTGATAAAGACAACGTTGGATCTAACTGTCAGAATTTACGACAATAGCCCGCAAATGAGAGTATATAATATACGATCTTCGATTTGGGGCAAACGAAAGTGCATAGTGAAATATTTCTTCTCTACACTTCCATTTGCAACGATTTTTCAGGAAACATGAAAGATCCCTAAATTTCAAAGAATAAAAAACAATTAGCTTTGGACGCATTTATCTTCTACCGATTCATTTTTAACTTTAGAGGGAGAAATTTTTAATTTCTTGACTATTTATTGTCCCTGTGCGGGAACTAAACGTTCTATGTACGAATGCCGATTAAGTTCACTTTTTTTAATAAAACAATATAGTTTTATTGACAAAACATGGCATAAACGTTTTACCTTTATCAAGTGAATACTTGAATAAAAATAAAATATTATTTGCGATTATCCTTCAGTAATTACATGTGATATGGAAGAAGAACAACGCGTTTTCACAGAATTCGCCACAGTCCTGTGGTAAGTTTTATTCACATACTTTCACACTGACTCCTCGAATTTCGAAGAAATGGCTATCGAGTAAGATCAAATATTTCCTTACTCATTTTGCGGTCGGGTGGGACTTTTTATTTTACAAATGCAGTCATTCCCTCGGAATTGCTGACATCACTTGCAACCAAAATTCGAACAGCGGAGATAATTTTTTACGTTTTCCTAAATGCTTGCTGTGTGGTTATAATGAGCTTTTAAACACAAAACAATAGAACTTAAAAGGGTGTTCCTTTTTTTTCGCCACTATTTGTCTTTTGGCAGCGATAGAATATTCTAGTAATAAATATCCAAAAGGATTTTTTTTACATCATCCGTAATATGAAATTCCTTGACTTTCTGTTTTAAATATTAGAGGCTGCAGTTATATCGCTATATAATTTCTAAAATGTGTTCTTTTTGTGACTCAGGACAACCCTGAGATACTAGAAAGCAAGAAGGATAATGGATTATGTAATGAAAGCTACGCATTTTTAAATAAATAAATAAAATAAAGTAAAATAAATAACTTAAGCGTATAAATAATCCAACAAAAGTCTTAAAGCTATAGCAAGTAACTTTACGGTATGTTCTCAAAGGTTCTCCGAATAACGGGCATTAAACTGCCAGCAACACTGCAGGCATTCAGATATTTTTTGTATTTCGCTAAGCCTTCTCTTTACATTTTTCTTGGTATCTGTATAGTAAAATTAGTCATTATTAAAAAATATTCATATTTTCTTAAATTAAAATTCTTAAACTAAATTGTTTCTTCTGCTAATCTAAAGTTTCTCTTCGTTTGTTTCTAGGTTGGTGAATGATGAAATAGGCAGAGAAAGATGTTTAATTAAAAACTTATGTATAGCAATAATAAAACTCCAACTAGGACAATCACGATCAACAGCGATAATAACATTTTTCATTTCGATAAAGTTTATCGTACAAGCATTCGAATAAGTTTATCTCGAGCATTTGGTTAAAAAAAGGCTTTAAGTTTTCGTTTCCAACAATTTTAGAAACCTACCCTCTAATGTCATTTTTGCTTGCTTTGCAATGTTATTGATGGGATGAAAACATTGCAACTCAATCAATTATTCTTTTATTTCGCACTTTATTTACATACTTACTTAGTTCACTCAGATTCCTTCCTTTAGTCAAAATCTCGGCATCGGTTTTTAAACTACTACCTGCTATTAAAATTTACACACACACTATTCGATTGAGATTCATTTCGTCTAAATACTTTAGTATTTAGACGATTTTCCGCACATATCATTGTTTAAGGACCAAATTAAAATATCAGTGTTTTATTATGAAATTTTTATCTTAATATCTGAAATTTTGGCGAATTTTTAAAAATTTCCTATATTTTCGACTATCTGAGGTCCATTATTTTAAAATTTCGACATCTAAAAATATATGGGACACAAAATTTTGAAATGTTCATAGATTATTAAAAACAATTCCCAATCTTTTAATGAAGCAAGAATTATAAGAAATACTAATTAGGCGAATTCTACATTAAAAATATATATATATATATATATTGTGGTCAGAAGCAGAAAGGGCAATAATCTTTTTTTTTTTAGCTAAGATACGGAAAAATTTTTAATTTTCAAACGTTATACAATATACTCTTCATCCTCTTTCAACATACAAGAATGATAAAAAATATTAATTAAACGTCCTTTTAATTTTTTTTAACTAGCCGCGTTTTTATAAACTTTTTTAACTTGCTCAGAATGTTTTTCACCACGGTTTAAAACGTCACGATAGATATTTATAACTATTTATATTTTTTTATATTTTATTAAATTTAATACTGTAACAATTTTTCGCACATATCTTTGTTTAACGAACAAACTAAAACTCTCAGAACTTTACTGTTTACACAATGGGATAGAGCGGGAAAAAATTTTTTAACTGAAATTCATTTAAATTTTTAACATATTTTCGGACATTTTGGAAATCACTCAATTTTTTAAGGCATTTTACTTGCTACCCTACAGTTGGCAAAAATCTATAAAAATACCGATTTGTCAACTTTTTGCTAAAAATATGCTTTACTCTTGTGACGAAATTTTGAAACGATCTGACGAAACTAAATGGCAAAAAAAGGTTTTTAAACACTTTGAATAGCTCTTGAAATTTCACGCCCACTTCAGTGTTTATTTTCTTTTACTTCTTTGTTGCCTGAATTATTTTTGTTAAAAATCAGTAGTATAAAAGTCGTGTGTGAGACCCAACTATCAACAAATTCTACTTATATTTTTTAAATGCTGAGTGAAAATTTAAAAAAAAAAAAAAAAAAAAAATTCCCCTTATGTGCATTTTTTTTTAACTTGCAGGCTTTTTTTTCCTTTTTACTCATCTCAGCAAATATTTATGTGTGTATCATCAATGAATTTTTGTATACTTCTTCATGAATTAGAAATCACTTGTGATAAAA